GTGTGTGTGTGTGTTTGTGTGTGTGTGTGTGTGTGTGAATGTGCTTGCTGTGTGTGTGGGGGGGTTGGGGTGGAGTGGGGTGGGGGCGGTTGGGAGGCAAAGGAATGGGAAGGGCTGTGCGGACGATGGAAGGATATGATGTCGAGCTCATGGTGGGGAGGGTCGCGGCGCGCGCAGGCGCGGCAGCTGCGATGCGGCGGCTTTGCTGTCGACGCCGCTGAGGGGATGGCGGCGAGCGCCTCTTTGAACCAGAAGCTTCAAGATCCTCGGTAACTCCGGGCACCCCAAACCCTGAGCCCTGAGGTGCCCCTCACCAGTTATGGCAATTGGGAAGCGCCCGGGCTTCAGCTGCGGCGCGAGGGCGGGCGGGGGCCGGGCGGCGCGGCGTGGCAGGGGCAGCGATCAGCCCCAGCACAGCGGCGGGGCGCCGGCGCATGGTGCGCTTGCCACGAGCCGACTGCGGGCGGGCCGCTGTTTTGCTGTGTCAACACTGCTGCGACTGGCCTGGCTGCTGTGCAGTTCCCTCAGGGGGCCAGCCAGACGCGCCGGGCCAGACACTGTCCACGCCCTAGCCCATTAGAAGCGTGGGCTGCTCCTGATACACCACAGAACCACCCACACGCCCGCTCTCGTCTCTGTGTCTCTGTCTTTGTCTGCCCCTCTCTCTTTCCACCTGTCTATCTCTCTGCCTCTCATGCACGCGTTAATCCCCGCCCCACCCCACCCCACCCCACGCCATGCCCCCCCACCATCGACGTCATCAGCTCCACAAACGCAAATTGGCCGCCGTACGCGAATATTATGTTGAAGAACGCCACAAACTGCGCCTCCAGCGTGGCACCGCTCGGGCCGCCCGGCCTCACAAACGCCTCGTGCTTGGCAGCAGGGTCGGGCTCAGAGATCAGCTGGTATATCACGATGCCCAGACCGATGAGCTGTGTGTGTGCGTGCGCGTGTGTGAGTTTGTATGTGTGTGTGTGTGAGTGTGCGTGCGCGTGTGTGAGTTTGTATGTGTGTGTGTGTGTGTGTGTGTGTGTGTGTGTGTGTGTGTGTGTGTGTGTGTGTGTGTGTGCGCGCTTGTGTGTGTGGGGTGTGTGCTTGTGCGTGCGTGCGTAGATGTGTGTTCTTTCAAGGTGAGGCGGAAGGGACGATGCCAGGGGCGCTGCTAGTGCGTTCACCCGTATGGGACTTTAGATGATGGGCAGCACCAACCACAGCACCGACGGCTGAGCATGCCGTGGCCAACAACAGGCCCGCGCTGGGCCAACAACGGGCCCGCGCTGGGCCAGCAGCCAAATCACCGGGTACCGACCGCCAGGAATTTTCGACTGATGGGCGGCAAGGCCTGCCGGCCGCAGCTGACTGTGCGGTTGCACCATGCCCACACTTGCAAGCCCGCGCTCATCCACTTCCTCACCCGCGCCGGCGCCCACGCCCGGGCGTTCTCTACCACTCTCACACCTACACACAACCACACACAACCACACACTCGCGCACACGCGCGTGCACACTACACGGACACACACGTGCTCAAACACTTACACACCCCACACAACCCCCAACCAGCGACCGACCCCCCCCCACAGCCCCACCTGAGAGGTCGTCCCCAGCAGGAAGAACCCAGACAGCTCGCTGAGCGCGCGGATCTGCGACGCGACCGCCGCGATGACGAGGACGATCAGGCCGCACTGCCACAGCGGCGGCGCCGCGTCCCCGAGCGCGTGCTCGAGGCTCTGGGTGGCCGCCAGGTGCAGGATCACGCAGCGCGTGCCGTCCAAAGTATACACTGCCGATTAGTGATGGACGATGAGGTGCGTGTGTAAGAGCACGAGCATGAAATCGGCGATCAAGCCGCTCAAAAGGAGCTGAGAGAAGGGACGTCCGACGAGTGCAGCGGCGAGGCCCGAACCGGCGCGCACAGCTTGCACGCCTGACCGTGCGTGCTTTGCACACGCACACGCACACACGCACGCGAGGACAGCGCCCTCAGGAGGCACCCTTGCGGGCCCCAGGCGCCAGCACCCTCTGCCGACGCGCACCGATCGCGTAGCAGAGCGCGCGCGCGTTGGGGCCGCCGGCTGCCTCCGCGATGTCCCCGAAGAGCACTGTGCCCGGCGTCGCCAGAAACAGCTTTGTGAAGAGGCTGCCGCTGTATGCTGTGGTAAAGGCGATCACGCCGACCGCCAGCAGCGCCGGCACCCAGCCCAGCAGCGCGAATGCGTGCGGCAGGAGCCACAGGCTGGGCGGGCGGTGCGAGCGGGGCGGCGGCGCCGGCCGGGGGAGGGTGCAGGTTGTGTTGGGGCCCTTGTGTGGCCTTGCAAAATATCGTGCTGTGGTCGCTGAGCTGGCACTGGCCGCGAACGCAAACCCCTCGCACATATAGGCGCACCCCTCCCTACCCACGGCTCACCCCCAGCCTAGCTGCAGCGCCTGCGGGGTGGTTGGGAGGGGTTGGGGTTGGAGAAGCTTGTGTCAGCGGCGCAGCGCGCGTACTGGCATGAGCGGGCATGCACCAGCCGGCCGGCATGCCTTGACCAGCGGTACCAATATGGCTTGAGTGCAGAAACACAGTGCGAGCAAAGGCTGCCAAGCGCCCGGTCCCGCTCGCGCGTGCGGGCCGGTGCCTCGCGCTGCCACCGGCCCGTGGCCCGCCCGCCACGCGCACCAGCAGCGCAAGCAGCGTCTGGTTGACCGTGCAGCGCTTGTGCTGCGGTGCCGACTCCTCGCCAAGGAGCGGCTCTGTCCCGGTCATCCTGTGGGCAGGGGCCAGGGTCGAGCAGAGGCGGCCGGCAGGTGGCGGCGGTTCACAGCAGGCACCAGCACCAGCAGCGGAAGCGCATGCGGGACGTGCTCGACTCAGTCTAGGCAACAAGCAGAGGGCCTCTCACGTGTCCGACGTGATTGCTACGATCTCGGAAAGGGATCCGCCTGGGGCCGCGATAGGGGAAATGCGGTGCGAGGTGCAAGTGCTGGGTGATGCCTTGTCTCTCCGTGACAGAGACTATGTCAAGCCAGCACCCGTTTCACACCTGAAGGCGTGACAAAACAGTCCGAGAGGGAGGGACGCCAGGTGCGGAGGCCGGTCGGGGCCAGGAACCGTGATGGGGCCCGTCGAGCGAAGCGATGCTCAAACCGAGTGTCGTGCCTATAAATCGAATTAAACGATCAAGGCAGGATGTGTTGAACAAAGCGGCGCGCCGTGCGCTTGACTTTGGCCGGCGCGCAGTGCCGAAATGGCTGAAGCAGCAAGCGGCGCAGCAGGTGGCTGCAACTCCCAATGGAGCCTCTACGAGAATGATCCACTCTACTACAATTAAATTATGCTTTCTAGGCGTGCTGCACTGCCGATTGTCGCCCTCAGAAGGGCGGGCGGCTGCTCCATGATGACAATATGTGTCAACATCATTGCCGCCCAAAATCGCTGGGAGGCCTGCCGATGCGGCGAGCTCGAGCAGATAGTAAAAAGATTTGAGGTAATATTGCCTGCTCCAGTGGAAAACTGCGCTGCAGATCAGCGGCGGCGGGCGGCGCTGGGGGGCGGCCGGCCAGCTCTCGTGTCCAGCCTGTCCGGGGGGGTGGCGCCTTGTTCGGCGCCAGGCCTGGCGCCTACGTCGCTGCCCCGCTCTGTCCACAATAATTTGTGCAGAATACCCAAATTGCAGCCCAGGTGCGTGTCTTCAGGGAGGGCCCACAATTATGCGTCCGCGCCTGCCTTGTCTGGATGCGGCGCGTTATGTGACATTTCCCTCAGCAAGGCCACCAGGCGCAAGGTTACACCTCTTGTAGCAGTGTGCAGCCAAGTGGACGGCGCAGGGATCCATGTGCACACATGCAGCGTGACTCCCCCACATGATCTGTTCTTGCATAGCATGCTCTGTTCTTGCGTAGCATGCCATAACCATGTCCACAACACCAACGGCGTCAGGCGAAAGCAGGTATGAAAGAAAGATAGACGTAAGACCAAAGGTGTCTCAGCGGCTGATGCAACGTCGCAGCTTGCCGCGACGGGCCGGCACTTGGAGGGTACTGGCGTCACGGGTGCGTGTGGGCTGGGCCAAGATCGAAGGGCCGCTGCGCACCCTTGCGTATTTCAAAAAACGGGGCTCTTCAGAGCTCCAGGCACTGGCTGTTTCGGGTTGGGTGTCCCATTACGGGTGCCACCTGCCCTCGGTGGTATATACCACTCTGATAGAGGCGCCTCTGGCACAAAACCATCCAAGGCCGGCGCGCGCTGCCCGAGTGCGCGCTTGTGCGGCGCGACGGGCGCTGCTTTCGCATTGTGTGAGTTCTTCAAAATCGCTCAGCCGTATGCAGCCTGATGCAGACCCGCGCTGGCCGAAGCGCGGGGGGCTGGGGCAACCATAAGCATGAACAGTGGTGCGTCGGGGCCGACGGCTCAGCCGCTCGTGCAACAAAAACGCAGCAGGGGGAGGCTCAACAGGGTCGCAGCGGCAGCCGTCAAGGAACGCGCTCTGCAGCTCTTCACAGGGAACAAAAACGACACCACTGCCAAATCAGTCGCGAGCCGCCGCCGCGGCAGGGACGCGCTGCCCGGGCTCCACCTCGCCGGCGGCCGGCGCGGCCGCCTCCTCAGCGGCCTCTTTCTCAGCAGCCTCCTTCTCAGAGGGCCCCGCCACCTGGGTGAGCATCGATGCCCCCAGGATGATGCCGCCGCCGATCCAGCCCCAGGCGCCCCAGCGCTCCCCCAGGAACGCGTACGCCATGAGGGCGCCCGCCACAGGCTCCAGGGAGTAGATCATAGCGGCGTCGGTGGACGACACGTTCTGGATGGAAGCGCAGGCGTGTGTGCAAGAGATGGGAACGAGGCGGGCCGGGGGTTTGTGAGTCCCCCGTGGGGCCTAGGCGGAGGGGGCCGCAGCGGCCTCGGGAGCGCGCGCAGCGGAAAGATCAAAGCAAGCGAGGGCACCCGAAGCACGAGCGCAAGTGCCGCCCAATTCCAAGTCCGCCCGGCCGACCAGAGGCCCAGATCTGGTCCCGGCGCGGCAGCCGCGGTGCCCAGGGCGCCCCGGCCTGCCGCCCACCTGGAGAGCCATGAGTTCCACGAACAGCACTAGGTCTGTCGACACCACCGCCGTGTAGAACAGCTGCTGCGCCGTCCGCGCCGCCTCCTCTGCCTCCGCGGCCGGGACGGCGGCGCCCCCGCCGAGCGCCGCCGGCAGCGCCGCCTGCCAGTCCGAGAGCAGCTGCCGCACGCCGTCCGCCGCGGCCGGCAGGTCGCCCGCGTGGACGGCAGCCGCGGCGCCGGACGCGAGCGCGGCGACGGTGAGCATCGAGACGGCCATCAGCGGCAGCTCGCTGCCCTTTGGCAGCTTCTGCATGGCGCGCTCGGCCAAAAACATCTGCGCGGCAAAGCAGATCGCGCTCGCGACGGCCCAGGCGTCCCCCACGTTCGGGGGGCCCAGGCTACTCCCCTCCTCCTAGGGAACGACGGGTGGGCGCGCGGGGGAGACGCCGGTGAGGGGCGGACCAAGGGCTGTGAGGATGTGACGGCGGCCGCACCCTGTCACAGATGCCCCAGCGGCGTCGCGGCGCGCCCGAGCGGCGACACAGGGGGAGAGAGGAACAAGAGAAAAAGGTGCGCACCAGCATGCCAGTGCCGACGAGCGCCGCGGCGGAGCAGGCCCATATGATGGGGCGCACGCGCTGCCCGCTGAGGCCGGCGATCATGGGGACCGCCAGCACCGTGAACGTCGACAGCAGCGACGCGCGCGCCGCCGCGGTGTGGCCGAGGGCAAGCGCCTGCCATGGCGGACGGCGGGCGGGAGAAGATGAGAAGGGAGTCGAAGAGGTGCTGGGCCCGTTGGCAGCCACCCAGAGGGTGCTGGGCCCGTTGGCAGCCGCCCAGCACCTCTGCAAGCAAGCTCATACCTGCAGATATACCAGCAAGCCCTCCCGTTGAGAAACACACTTGCGAGCAACGGTCAACTCGGGCGGCCGATAGTAGGATGGCACCCCGGGCTCAGGTGTGTTGATTCATTGGTGCCATGTGCGCGCGTAGCCTGCCCCGTCCTCACCTGCGCGACGTAGCCGGCCGCATACCAAGCGCCGATCTCAAGGCCGGCCTTGGTGATGTGCTTCTCCTGCGGCTTCAAGAACGGCACAAACAGCATCGCCGCTAGCAGAAAGCGCATGGACATGAAGATCGTGGCGTCTGTCATGGTGGCGGCGTCTGCGGGCCAGGCGGGCACGGAGTGCGAAGAGGGGGGGTGAGGGGAGCCCTGGGCGCAGGCGGGGGCGGTTGCCAGGTGCTTCAGCGGGTTGCACCTGCACCCAAGCGCGCACCTGCGGATGCCTTGACGACGACCCAGTTGCTGCCCATGAGAACGGTCATAATGTTGAGGAGCACGAGGCCGCGCAGGCGGCCGTCCAACTTTGGAATCTTCGACAGCAGGGCGTGCAGGGGGCCCTGGGCGCGCTGCTGCTGGTGCTGGAGGTTCTGTTGAGTGGGCCTCCACGGCTGCTCATTCGAATGCTGCTGCTGCTGCTGCTGCTGCTGCTGCTGCTGCTGCTGCTGCTGCTGCCAGTTTGCCGCCGAGGCCTCCTCGGCCGCGACCATGGCCGCGACAGTCAAAGTGTCGACGGCTGCTGATGGGAGGGCGCGCATCTGCAGGTGCAGCCGCTCCTCGGCTGTCGGCACCGCCGGCGTCGACAGCAAATCCGCAGCCGCATGGTGGCGGGACAGTTGGGCCGCAACGACAACCGCGACGGCGCGCCGCAGCGGCGGCTGGGGCAGCCGCGGCTGGCAACCCACACCGCACGCCCGACGCTGCATGGCCGTTCCGGCGGTCGTCGGGCCGCGCATGGCGCGTTCGAGATGCTGGCGGCGCCCTTTTCAATCACCGCCGGCGAGGCGGCGCTGATGCGAGCGTGAAGCGCTGCGCGGCAGCGGTTCCGGCTGTTCAAATAACGCTCTCGTCAAGCTGTAGGCGGGGTGCACAGGGCGTCACCCCCGTTTGGTCTCACGAAGCGCGGCTGCAACCGTGGTTCTACTCTCGGTTAGCAGGTCTTGATGTGAACGCGTTGTAACGTGTTATGATGCGCGCTATGAAAGCTACACTGGCGAGATGCAGACGGCACTGCGCGCGCCCGACAGGTGTGCCCAACAAGGAGTGAACCCCGTTTTTGTCTACTATATGAGATGAAACGGTCCAGTTTGAGCACGGGTACTCGTGGGAAAGGAGAGGAGCTGCGCTGCGACGGATCCTTGGGGTGCCAGCCGTGGCACCAATGCCTTGATTTGAGCCCGCAGAACTGCCAGAAAACAGCGTCTTCACGGTGCATGCCGCCCAACACATTGCTGCACCAGACTTCCGGGCAGGACTTTCTAGGTGCAGAGTCATGCTGCGGAGCTGCATGCGACCACCATGCATGACTGGGCTGCTGCACCAAACAGGGACAAACGCAGTGCACGGCACCTGCAAGCGCTGATGTCCATCCACCTACCTGCCCGCCCAGTTGGGCGACCACCAAGCAGGCAAGATAATAGTATATGGTGGTGCTGACCAGCCGGCAGACGCCATCACAGCGGACACGGACAGAAGCAGCACAGCGCTCCGTAGTCATCAGCGGCAGTTGTTGGCAGGGGAGCTGCGGTTTGACAAGGCGTCCCAGCACAAAGGCCCAGCCAGAGTATTAGTACGCTCAGCCGGGATGGTAAAGGTGGTGCCGGCGTGCCGGGAGGGCGGCGGCGAGGAGGCCGTCATGTGGCGTCGGACTGGTCATTGAGACGAGCATTGAACATGTTTCATGAACCGAGCGCTCACAAGACCTCACTGCGTCAAATTCTTATGAGTGTCCAATGCGCTCATGCTTCAATTGCGGGTCTTCCGCACTCACAGGGCTGCGGGAGGCGTTGACCTGAGAACCTCCGAAAGCTGCAATCGATTATCATGTGGCACCACAAGCGAGGTCTCGAGCCACGAAAAGAACTTAATCATCTGGCCAAACCAACCGTAACTCAGCCGCCATACATCTGGGTTGGTATCATGCCTTACCCTCCTCTGATGCGGTTGGGAGGCCAAAGAAAAGGGTGAACGTTTGCAGGCGAGCAAGAATTGAGTTAAGCACAGCCGTACAGCGCCGTGTTGGTGTCTTTGAAATAGTCGACTACAGCATGCGACAGCAGCATTGCATGTCTTGTAGTGCTTTCAACCCCAGAATGTAGTGCTTTCAACCCCCTCTCTCAGCCCGGCGCGGGCGCGTCGGACTTGGAGCGGTGCGTGGCGACATGCACTTGACTGGTTGGCAGCCGAGGGGGGCGCCCCTGGCGCCTTTTTGGCGGCCTATGCGGCGGGGGTGCACAACACCCTGGACCAGGGCTCTGCGGCGATGGCGGGCCTGCGCCAGCAGTTGGGGGGATGGGAACTGCATGCGTGGGACCATGCACTGGCCAACCGGGCCGCGCGGGCCGTCCAGCATGGTGGTGCTTGCGCGGAGTATGAGGCTTGCTTCGCCGCTGGTGATGCAGATGAAGTGCCTGAGGCCGGCTTTCCGTCGCACATGCCCTACTACTTTCGCCACACGTCCCGATTCCGCAACCACCAACATGCGCGGGCTCTGATGCGCCTGCGCTGCTGCTCCCCCCCTTTTGCTGCATCACC